TCTTGTCCTGGGGCCTGCAGTCCGGCCCTCCAATGGTCTGAGGGACAGTGAACTGGCCCCTGTTTAAAAAGTTTGAGGATCCTTGCATAAGCAATTGGTTTGGTTTGGTTTCTTAAAGTTAATATTGAAAAAAAAGTGAGATGGGATTTTTCTAGAATTAAAGAGACCAAAGAGATATAACAGCTGCTTTAGTCTATTCAGGCTGCTTGCTGTACAGAATAACACAAACTGAGTGGCTTAAACAACAGAGATTTATTTTCTTACAGTTCTGGAGGCTGGCTGGAAGTCCTAGATCAAGGTCAGCGGGGTGTATTTCTCGTGAGGCTCTCGTCCTGGCTTGCAGATGGCTGCCTTCTCGCTGTGTCCTCACAGTTGTGGAGAGGGAGCCAGCTCTTCTGTCTCCTTCCCTTTATATAAGGACACCAACCCTATCACATGTATTGTCCTACCCTTAAGACCACCCTTAACTTTTAGCATCTTCTCACAGACGATACATGTCCAAGTACAGTCACATTGGAGGTTGGGGCTTCAACAGAGGGATTTTGGGAAGATGCAAACATTTAATCCATAACAGCAACCAAATGCAGTGCATAAGACTTGAATGTTTTATTTACAGATTTGGAAAATAATTTGTAAAAGACGTTTTGTTGTTACAGGTATAAACTGGACGCTTGGGAAATGCTGCTCTAAAATATAAAGTAATTCTTGTTATTAATGAGAACAAAATTTAATCAGAAAGCCATTGTAGTGTTGAGATGGCAGTTTGTAGTGTTATTTCTAATAAAGTCATGCAGGACTAAATTGCCACGTTTGCACTGCACATTTGCATATTTGTTTTGTGTTTGACAAGACCGTGATACTGTGGCAGGAAGTCAATGAAAGATGCAAAGTCTCACTGTATTAAATACTTAGTGCTAGAAGAGACTTGTACATGTGCAGGCAGGATGTGAAGAAGCAGCAAAATCTGTGCTTTTTAAAAAACAATATTTTCTGAGCATCTGCCATGCGCTAGGCATTGTACTAGTCGTATTACATATACGGTCCCTTAATCTTCTATGACAGCCTTTTGAGAGGAGAGTCTTATTATCCATCTTTTACAGATGGGGAGACTGAGACCTAGAAAGGTAACTTTGTCAAGGTCACACGGAAGGGCTAGGATTTGGATACGTGTCTTCCGATAGTAAGTCCAGGGTTCTTTCACTTATTGTTTTCATTGTTGTTATTGATTGGAATACAGTTTGCTTTTTGTTTAAAGTTATTATTTCTGTACAGAGATGAGGAATAGGTGAAATTAGGTAAAATAAATACCTGAAGTTAATCAAAAGAAATGATTGAAGTTTTATCTCTACGACCACTGCTTCCGGGATGATTTAATTTTTTGACTTTAAAATGATCCACTATGAATATTTATAACTCTTGAGAAAACGAAGCCTCAGAAATGAGATATCATCAAAGACTGCTTACTTAACGGCAACACGAGAAGTAGAATCGGGAATCCTGGTATTTGTTGACCTGGCTTTATCTTTTAAAAATTTTATTTAGCAACCGATTTCTAAATGTAATTTAAAGCCAGCTTTTGATATAAACATAGATGAAGTATCTTTCTCTTTTTAGAAGCATCTAGTCATAGAACATATCTATTTACAAAAACATGATAACTTTTTTTTTTTGGAGACAGAGTCCTACTCTTTTGCCCTGGGTAGAGTGCTGTGGTGTCATAGCTCACAACAACCTCAGACTCTTGGGTTCAAGGAGTCCTCTTGCTTCAGCCTCCCAAATAGCTGGGACTACAGGCATCCCAGAAAACCTGGCTAGTTTTTCTGTTTTTAGCAGAGATGAGGTCTGGCTGTTGCTCAGGCTGGTCTTGAACTTCTGAGCTCAAGCAATCTACCTGCCTCAGCCTCCCAGAGTGCTCGGATTACAGATGTGAGCCACCATGCCTGGTCCAAAACAGGTAAACATTTGAGAGTTTGAAAGATAACATTTCCCATGAATGTATTCATTGCAAAATCTATTATTATTTATTTTTAAGGCCAGTCAAATGTAGTAGTAAGAACAGGTGAAAGAGTAGAACAAGGAGTTTAAGCTGTCTGTACAGGACTGTGAACATCCATGAGATAATTCAATACCTTCGTATGAGCTGTTAGTTGTAGAGTTGGTAGTAATCTGTTCCCGAGTTTCCATTACAGTTAATACCATATCAATTTTTCTATTCATTTATACAATCACTTTTTGCCTTTGGTCTTTTTCATGAAAATAGGAAATCTTTTTTTAATGTAATGAAGCCTGTTCTGTGACTTGTTTCATTTCCATTTAATATAAAGCCTTTGTAGGTTATATTTAATTTTCTTCATATAATATAATAGGTGATAATGTTGGAAACATTAAGAATGGGTCCTTAACTAGACCAGTTGAATGCTGATGGTTGAGAAACTGCACACACACTATATTTACATCTCTCCTTTTTTCCTCCTTAAACAACGCCCCTGTGGTGCCTGTTCAGCGTGTCTTGGCTATTCAGTTGAAAGAAATTCAAACTTAGATTCCTGTGATACACCTAATTAAATGGTGAGGTCCTGGCTACTGTGCCCACTTTTTGCTTAGTTTGCTTAGTACTAGGTTTATGTGGCTGCCAATTCAGGGATAGTCCTTCTCAGAATAGTATCTCGTGATATGAATAGTATGTTGTGATACACTATTCAATCATCATAAGCAGTGTTATTTTATATTTTACATTATTTTATTAGTGCTCTAGTGGCTTTTCTAAAGTTTTATTTTTACGAGGTTTTGAAGGTATTACCAAAAAATGTTTCAGGCCAGTTTCTACCATATGCTGTCTGTAGCTTTGAACTCTTTCTATTTGTAATCTCTTTAGGCCAGGCAGTGTGGGTGTTCCTTCCAGACCATACCCTGTTGTATGCAACGTTTCGCACTTACTTGCTAGAAATCTTCTTTGGTGATATAATTTAAAATTGAGTGTTGTCACCATGGAAAAATGAACTCCTTCCAGATTCTCTTTTTGAAAAAGTCATTGTTGGATAAGTCATTCAGCCAGAAAGAAGCTGTTCCAAATTTATTGAAACGCGCTTATTGCTTAGTTTTATTTTCTGATATCAAATAGAAATAGGGAAATACTGTGAGCGTCATGGTAGATAAGAACTAGGGTTTGTTAATAGGAAGTGGACTTTGAATTTTTTCTTTAAATGTATATCTTTTAATGTTAGCAAAAAAAAAAAAAAGGAGGTTTTGGTGGAAACAAAATGATAAAACTAATGCTTTTTTTTTTTTTTTTTTGCAGTTTTGGCCAGGGTCGGCTTGAACCTGCCACCCCTGGTATATGGGGCCGGCGCCCTACTCCTTGAGGCACAGACACTACCCAATGTTTTCTAATTAAAAAAAGTGTAATCTAGATTGTTGTCAGGGAGCATTCCAGTGTCACTTGTGGTTTTTACGTGCCTCGTTTTCTCTTTAGTGATCAGGTTTTTTGAGTGGCCGTCTGTTAGGCTGTAGGTGACCCCTGGTGGCTGATAAGATCTGTTAGCTCTCTGTGGAGCCTGCTGTGACCGTTCCAGCCTTTCTTTCTCTCTAACTTCACTATATTCCTATTTTTAGTTCTTTAGCCACATAGTTTATTACATTTAAATATTGTTTCACCAACTAGATTTTAATTTTGTTATGTGAAGGAATAATTCCGTGCTCTCTTGTAAGAGGTACACCCCAGTATCCGCTGATTAGGTGATTATCGCCTCCAATTGAAATCCTTTCGCCAGAAGCTACGTTTTTATTATGGAGAAACAAGTTTAAAAGGAGTTCTTTTTTTCTTCAAGTTTTAGCTATTACAACAAAAGATATCCATGACCTTTAGGTACAATAGGTTGGAGTAAATGTGGTTGAATGACTTTCTCACTGAACATAACTCTTTTTAATGTCTAGCACGGTATAAATGAAACAGTACTGAGATTTTCTTAAGCATTGGTATTTATTACTGGTTTGGAGGCCTAATGAGGTTTGGAAACCTCACTAATCATTGTGAGGAATATATTGAGATTATATATATTTGTATTTATATACACACCTATTATCTAGAAGAATTTCTAAGACTTAGGAAGTTCTTCATAATGATTGTCCAGTGGTAGTATACAGTCTGTTACAAAGGACTGTTTGAGAATAATTTTTATGATTGACTTGTCTGTTTTTTGATGGAGGCAGATGACTTTGGAACAGAAAGTGAGAATTTGCATTGAGATTTATGACTTGCTAGTTCTGTGTCCCAGGGCAAGGAATCTCTATATCTTTATAGCTCAGTTTCTTTTCTTTTCTTTTCTTTTTTGAGAAACCATCTTACTCTATCTCCTTGGGTAGAGTACCATGGTGTCACAGCTCACAGCAACCTCAACCTCTATGGGTTCAAGCAGTACTCTTGCCTCAGTCTCCCTAGTATCTGGGACTACATGTGCTCACCACAGCACCTAGCCAATTTTTCTATTTTTGGTAGAGATGAGGTCTTTTTGTTGCTCAGGCCTTGAACTGCTGAGCTCAGGCCATCCACCCACCTTGGCTTCCCAGAGGGCTCGGATTACAGGCGTGAGCCACTGTGCCTGGCCTATACCTCCATTTCTACTCTGCCAATCCCAAAAGACTATTTTGAAAATCAAAGTGAAGTAGTGTACGTAAAAGTGCTTCATAAACTGTGAAGTGCCAAATAAATGAGGTCCTTAAGTCATTGGCCTTTCATTGGTAAATTTCAAAGATTGTGAATGGCTGGGGTAAAGACCTGTGTCTTATGTGTATTTTATAAACACCTGAATCTGAGAGTAGTTATGATAAATTAGTCACTTTGGGGGAGGAATAATACATATTTAAGTGGCTAAAATTTGCTGCCAAGAATATATATTCTTATTTCCCAATTGTATAAGTGAGCCTCGTAGATACAAGAATGTATTAACATGTTTTAGGGAAAAACACTGTGATATCTTATTTAATTTTTATAACGTTTTCAGGTTTGAAAACACAATGGCAGGAAACAGCCTCGTTCTACCCATCGTTCTTTGGGGTCGCAAAGCACCAACACATTGTATCTCAGCAGTACTTTTAACAGATGACGGGGGCACGATTGTAACAGGATGCCACGATGGACAGATATGTCTCTGGGATCTGTCAGTAAGACTGGAAGTAAGTATTTGAAATGCCTATCGTACATTTTAAATATCAAAAACTTATTAGAAAATAACACAGCTTCAGAATAATACTTGGGATTATAATATATTTTTGCAAAATATGTTTTGACTAAAATTGGTGTTATGTAGGTTGATTATTTACATTTTCCATCAGAGTTGACTTCTACTGGCTTTGGCTATTTTGAAATACAATATTAATATCTACCCTAAGTGGCTTACTGTATGTTACGTTTAAGATTTCTTTTCTTTTTTGAGACAGAGTGTCACTATGTCACCCTTGGTACAGTGCTGTGGTGTCACAGCTCACAGCAAACTCAAACTCTTGGGCTTAAGCCATTCTCTTGCCTCAGCCTCCCAAGTAGCTGGGACTATAGGTGCCCACCACAATGCCCAGCTATTGCAGTTGCAATTGTCATTGTTTAGCTGGCCTGGGCTGGGTTTGAACCCACCTACTTTGGTGCATGTGGCTGGCACCTTAACCACTGTGCTACGGGCACTGAGCCTACATTTAAGATTTTTCATAAAAGGCGGGGTGCAATCCTCATGCCTCTTCTCCTAGCACTCTGGGAGGCTGAGACAGGTGAATTGCTTGAGCTGAAGAGTTCAAAACCAGCCTGAGCAAGAGTGAGACCCCTTCTCTAAAAATAGACAGGCACGTGGCAGACGCCTATAGTCCCAGCTACTCCGGAGCCTGAGGCAAGAGAATCGCTTGAGCCCAAGATTTTGAGGTTGCTGTGAGCTGTGACGCCAGGGCGGTCTACCAAGGGCATCAAAGTGAGACTCTGTCCTCCACCCCCCAAAAAGGAACAGTTTAAAACATTTAAACCTTCTACGGTAAATGCTTTGAAGAGGGTAAAACGTTTTATAAAGTGTAAGTTTTATTGTGCTGATTTTTGGCATCACTATGTGTCTCTTGTCATTCCTTACTACCATGGAGGTAGTACTCAGTTTGCTCTGCCCGTAGGCCTCTCAGTGGGCAGAGCTAGGGAAGTGTATGATCTGGGGACACACACACACACACACACACACACACACACACACACGAGTTGACACTGATGCCTTTGATTTTAATGTAACACAACTGGGAATATCCTCCCTTTCTTCTTTCCCAGTTGTAATGTTACTAAGCAGTCAGTGGGCTCGCTACCCAGTGCACATGAAAGCCAATACTGTGGCACCAGCCTTAGAGAAAATAAAAGTTTTACTGTAAGACACTGGCGAGGAGATATGAGTAAGTACTCAAATCTGTCTCCTGGAGCTGGGGGCTTGGTCAGGTTTTATAAGCATAGGGTAATGAGGTGTGAGCTGATGGGATCTTGCAGTGGGTTGATGGCAGGACATTTGCTCTGACTGGACCATGCCATGAGGTGGTATCAGGGCTCCATCTGGCAGGATCCTGGATCCTGCCCTGTGGTGTGTGCTTCTTAATCCAGTACCCACCCACTTAAGTTCCACCTACACACTGGTTCATCTGAGCAGGCTAAAGTTAGGTGATTTTCAATCTGGGGTCCGTGGCAGCTGTTGCATAAAAGTTGAGCCAGACTGGTCTGATTAAACTCTCTTCTCTGATAATTCTTCCCAGGGATTTTCAGTAAAGGGGAGTAGAGAAAATGGAGTGGTAGCTACCATGGAATGTGGCATCAAGTAAAGTGATTTTTTAATTACTCTTTTTGGGGGCAGCAGCCTCATTGAACTGTAATTCACATGCCATGTAATTCAGGTGTTTAAATTCAGACTTCTATGTTTTTTCAGTTATGCCCACAGAGTTGTATAACCATTGCCACAATTTTAAACATTTAAAGTTTTTTTTTTTTTCAGAATTTTAGGGGATACACATGTTTTGTTTCCATACTTTGTTTTTGTTCAGATTGAGCGAAAGTTGTAAGTGTGCCTCTCACCCAAATAGTGCGCACTGTACCTGATAGGTGTGGATTCACACAGGTCCTCTTTCCCCTCCCCCCAATTTTAGAACATTTTTGTCACCACATGTAAAAGAATGAAATCAGACCCCTATCTCCTGCCAGTATTCTTTAAGAGTCCTCTCCAGTACCCTCATGCCTCTGAGGCAGCCTCTCACCTGCTTTCTTTCACGACAGTCTTGCCTATTCTGGACATATCATATAAATGGAATCATATCATATGTGGTTTTATGATTGGCTTTTATCATTTAGCCTAATGATTTTTTCTTTTATATCCCATTTTGTCTCTTTATCAGTTGACAAAGTTCTGGGTTGTTTCTATTTTTGGCCTTTATGAATAATGCTGCTATGAACATTTGTGTGCCAGTGTTTTGTGGCCATACATAAATTTTCACTGCTCTTAAGTACACACCAGTGCGTGGAATTGCTGGATCAAACGGTAATTCTGTGTTTAACCATTGGAAGAACTGCCAGACTATTTTCCAAAGTGGCCATTACCAGTTTACATTCTCATCAGCAGTGTGTGAGAGGTCCAGTATTTTTACATCCTTGTCAACAGTTGCTACTGTCTTTTTGATTGTGGCCATAGTATTTGGTATAAAGTTGTGTCTCACTGTGGCTTGGGTTTGCATGTCCCTGATGGTTAATGACGTTGAGCACCCTTTCCTGTTCTCATTGGCCATTTGTATATCCTCTCTGGTGAACTGTCTATTTAGAGTCTTTTCCCATTTAGGAATTTTTTTTCAAGTTAATAATGCTTTCCTTTGCCTGTTTTAAAATTGGATTTTTTTTTATTTTTGAGTTGTAAGAATTATTTATATATTCTACACGCAAATTTTTAAACAGATATGTGATTTGCACATATTTCCCCCATTCTGTGGGCTGTCTTTCCACTTTCTTGGTGGTGTCCTTTGAAGCACAAAATATTTCATTTTATATTTATTTATTTATTTATTTATTTTTGAGGTGGAGTCTCAAGCTGTTGCCCTGGGTAGGGTGCCATGGTATCAGAGCTCACAGCAACCTCCAACTCCTGGGCTCAAGCAATCATCTTGCCTCAGTTTTTCTATTTTTAGTAGAGACCGGGTTTCGCTTTTTGCCCAGGCTGGTTTTGAACTTGTGAGCTCAAGCAATTCACCCACGTCGGCCTCCTAGAGTGCTAGGATTATAGGCATGAGCCACCACGCCTGACCCACAAAATATTTTAATTTAGATAAAGTCTTATTTATCTATTTTTCCTTTGTTTGCTTGTACTTTTATTGTTATATTTCAGAAACCATTGCCAAATCTAAGGTCATAAAGATTTATCCCTGTGTTTTTTCTAAGAGTTTTATGGTATTACCATTTACAGTTAGGTCTTTGATTTTAAGTTAACTTTTATATATGGTATGAGATAGGGGTCTGACTTCATTCTTTTGCATGTGGCTATCAAATTGTCCCAGCACTATTTGTTGAAAGTACTACTTGTTCCCCATTGAATGGTATTAGTACACTTGTGAAAAATCAATTGACCACAGATGCATGGGTCTGATTCTGGACTCTCAATTGTATTCCATTGTTGTGTCTGTTTATTCTTGTGTCATGTGACACTGTCTTAATTACTGTTGTTTTACGTTAAGTTCTGAAATTGGAACATAGGAGTCCTCTAATATTACTCTTCTTTTTCAAGATTGTTTTGGCTATTTAAGGTCCTTTGAATTTTCATACAAATTTTAAGATCAGTTTGTCAATTTCTTCAAAGAAACAATTGGGATTTTAATTGGGAACCTATAGAATCAATTTGGGTAGTATTAAATTTTCTGGTCCATGAACATGTAATACCTTTCCATTTATATAGAGCTTCGAATCTTTTTCAGCAGCATTTTGTAAAATAAGGTTTATGCTTTATTTTTTTGAGACAGAGTCTCACTGTGTCACCCTCTGTGGCATCACAGCTCACAGCAACTTCAAACTCTTGGGCTTAAGTGATTCTTTTGCCTCACCCTCCCAAGTAGCTGGGACTACAGTTGCCTGCCACAACACCTGGCTATTTTCTTGTTGTAGTTATTGTTTGGCAGGCCCGAGCTGAGTTCGAACCTGCCAGCCCCTGTGTATGTGGCTGCCGCCCTAGCTGCTGAGCTATAGGCACCGAGCTAAGGTTTATGCTCTTTATTATATTATTTATTTATTTATTTTTTGAGACAGAGTCTCAAGCTGTAGCCCTGCGTAGAGTGCTGTGGCATCACAGCTCATAGCAACCTCAAACTCTTGGGCTTAAGTGATTCTCTTGCCTCAGCCTCCTGAGTAGTTGGGACTATAGGCACCCGCCACAATGCCTGGCTATTTTTCTGTTGCAGTTGTCATTGTTGTTTAGTAGGCCCAGGCCCGGTTTGAACCCACCAGCCTCAGTGTATGTGGCTGGCGCCCTACCCACTAAGCTACAGGGATTGCCAGGTTTATGCCTTTTAAATTAAATTTATTTCTAAGAATTTTATTTTGTGAATCTATTATCCAATTTATTTTATTTTCAGATTGCTCATTACTGGTGTATAGAAATACAATTAAACTTTGTTAATTGATCTTATATGTCACTACCTTATTGGACTTATTTATCAGTTCTAGTAGTTTTTTAATGGATCCCCTAGGACTTTCTGTATACAGATAATGTTCTTGGAAAGGGCTAGTTTTACTTTTTCCTTTCCAATATGGATGACTTTTATTTCACTTTTTTTCCCTAATTGTCCTGGGTAGTACCTCCAGTATAATGCTGAACAGAAGTGGCAAGTGTGGATCTTGCTATTTTGTTATTAATTTTAGTAGCGGGTCGCATCTTGTCTTTTGCTTTTAAGTGTGAAGTTATCTGTATCAGTATGAGGAAGTTCCCTTCTGTGCCTAGTTTATGTTTCTGTCGTGAAAGTGCTAGATTTGGCCACGTGCACATTCTGTGTTTATCCAGATGCAGATTTGGCTTTTATTTTCTTGATATGGTGGTGTTGCTGTTTTTTCATGGGAGGTATTTTGGTATGTTTGTATACTGAAAGGAATGATGAAATGTAAATGAATATTGATTTTTAAGAGAATGGTGGCAGTTGAAGTG